ATCATGAAGATATTTTGTATATTGATATGAAGATCTTTGAAGATCTTGATGAACTTTCCGGTGATGAACAGATCTATGAAGATCTGGAAAAAACATGAAAATCCGTTGATGATGAGTTTTCCGGTGGAATTCCGGCGAAAAAATGCAGTTTTCGGCGATCTGTTACGAAGTCCGGCGGGAGGTTACGGTGGCTCCTGCGGCAGCTGCATGGCCGGCGGCAGGAGGGAGATAGTGGAATACAGGTGTCAGTTGCATGCGGAGGGAGGTTGTGACGAGGACACGTTGGGAGTGGGAGAGTGAGGATAAGCCAAGTGGCAACGCACGCAGAAAGTGGAAGTGTGAGGTGGAAGAAACTCTGAGTGGAAAATGAGGTGGAAGTGGAGAAAATGAGGTGGTGGCTGCAGGTGTGGACGTGTGGCAGCTTATATACGTGACAAGTGTCACGAATTGGGCCTCCAAAACAAACCTGGCCCATTAAAGACTAATGACAGGATTAATAAATGGATTAATGTGATTAAGACGGAATGAATTAACTCTAATTAAATTGCTAATGGCTTAACCCAACAATGAATGAACTAAACAATTAAAGCTGACTTAAGCTAAACTCAATTAATAGCCTAATGATTAAATGCTAAATAAAACGAAAATGCACATTAATCTACTCTAATAAATTCTAAAGAAAATCTATTAAAACTAAACTCAATTAAAATCTACACTAATAAATTCTGTATTAAACCCTATTCAATTAATCTAAAAAAAACTATTTAAATTCCATATTAAAATCTATAACACTATTTATTAAAAACTAAAATCTAATATCCTAATAAAACTCTATTAAAACTCTATTAAAAATCCAGAAAATAAAAGGAAAAATTCTAAAAATGCCAGGAAGCCAATTAAATCGATTAGAACACAAATACGCGATCATAGCGAAATAAACGGTAAAAACCGGACACCGAAATGTCCTCAAAAATAACAACGAGAGCTGAAAACACCGGGATGAGCACAAATTCTCAAAATAAATCCTCGTATTGGCCTGAAATGCCTGAAGCGCGATCAGAGGGCTGTAATCTCGATAAAGTCAATCTAACTGAAAAAATGCAATGTATGTGGTATGCGAATGCGAATGCAAAATGCGTCGAAACATAAACCAGATGTGGGAACCGGTTGGTCAAATTTTGGGGTGCAACAAGGTCTAGTACAGACCATAACATACATCAAAGAACCCACTACATTAGCATATGAAATGCTATTCATATAAGTTCTTTCGACATCAGTGATGGGACACTGATCTATACTCAGCTTGAATTAAGGGTTTGTTGGAGTCACAACAGGCTTTGAATTAGACATACCATACTTTTTGAGAATCTTCCGTAGGTATGCCTCTTGAGATAAGCATAATTTCGAATGCTTTCTATCTCTTCGGATGTCAATCCTAAGAATCGTAGACGCAGCTCCCAGATCCTTCACGTCGAACTCGTTATTGAGTTCAGCCTTCACCCTCATTACATATTCAACATTGTTGCTTTCTATTAGAATATCATCCACATAAAGCAACATAATAACAAATGAATTACCATGTCGAAATCTAAAGTAAACACAATGGTCAAACTGACTTCTAATGAAACTTATGCGTGTTATAAACTTGTCGAATCTCCTATTCCACTGTTGAGGAGATTGTTTCAGTCCATATAAAGATCTGCTCGGTTTGCACATATAATATTCCTTCCCTTTTTCGACATACCCTTCAGGTTACCTCATAAGGATTGTTTCATCTAGATCACCATACAAGAACGCAGTCTTCACATCCATCTGTTCCAGTTCAAGGTTAAACTGTGCCACAATGGCAAGCAACATTCGAATGGATATGTGCTTCACAAGAACACATCATTAAAGTCGAAACATTCTTTCTGAGTGAACCCCCTAGCGACCAATCTTTCCTTGTATCTCTTCAACGCCACTCCTTCGATCCCTTACTTAACTTTGAAAATCCATTTACAAATGACTAACCTGGCTCCAACAGGTTTCTTGATCAGTTCCCAGGTGTTTTTATCATGAAGATATTTCATCTCATCATCCATGGCCTTCATCCATTCAGTCTTCTTTCGACTCCTCATAACTTTGTCTAGAACCTCACTCGCAGAGATTAAGGCATAAGCTATAAGATCTGCATACCCAAGTCTCTGAGGTGGCTTGATGACTCTCCTCGACCTGTATCTTTCTAGCAGGTAGTCATTATCAGTCTCCTCATCTTCGACAACATCTTATGTGTCTTCTTCAACTTCATCTACGATACACAATTCAACATCAACATGCTTCACCTCAACAGAAATCTCTATTTGTTCTAGCTCTTCCTCAGCATCATCAGTTTTCTTGAAATCCATTCGTGCTTCAATGAAAACTACATCTCGATTGGTGATACACCTCCTGTGACCTGGCTATAGGCACCATAACCTATAAGCTTTGACTCCTTCAGGGTATCCCATGAACGTGCATTTCAGAGCTCTAGGTTCGACCTTGTCTTGCCTAATATGAGCATAGGCCACACAACCAAATACTCTTAGTCTATCAAGACTAGGTGGATGTCCCGACCAAACTTCTTCAGGTGTTTTCATTCCTAAGGCAGTCGAGGGACATCTATTTATCAGATAGGCTGCTGTCGAAACAGCCTCCGCCCAAAACACCTTCTTCAATCCAACACTAACCAACCTGCATCTAACCCTTTCAAGGATTGTTCGATTGAATCTCTCAGCTAAGCCATTTTATTGAGGAGTACCTGCTACAGTCTTATGCCTTGCAATCTCACACTCAACACAAAAACTGTCAAATACTTTGTTGCAAAACTCAAGGCCGTTGTCGGTTTTCAACCTCTTAACCTTTCTGCCAGTTTGAGTTTCGACCAAAACCTTCCAACTTTTGAAATTCTCAAAAGTTTCATCCTTCGTCTTCTAAATGAATACCCATAGCTTTCTGGAATAGTCATCAACGATGGATAGTAAATACCTTTCGACACCTATGTTCTATCAGAGATATAAATGTGTTAGCAAGTGTTTAGATTTGGAAAAGATGTGTTTTTAGCAAGATTACTTTTCGTGTTTTAATTTGTTTAAGATTTGTATCATTCAAAGATCTCAATCTTGATAATAAATATGTGATTGATTATGTGCATATTTTGGTTTTAAGGAAGATATGGTCTGAATCGAATAAGGGAAGATTGAATTTGTTATAATAAAAATATTCAGATCTATTCTAGAGGTGATAAATCAAGAATGAGAATCAACATTGTTGAAGATTTATCTCATGTGTTTTTTGGAGGATCGGTCGTATTCAAGATCAAAACACTACAAGAATTTAGAGCTGGACTTTTGTTCTATATAATGAGACAATATCTTTTGTGAAGAGTCATAACTTTGAAGAAAATATCTACTCTGTGAGAGATTTTTTAGTTGAGTATTGTATTTGTTTTATAATACTCTATTCTTAAGTCTTATTCCTATGTTAAGAAATATAGTATTTGAGTTGTAATTTCATGTCATCATTCTTATACTTTTGTATCTGCCCAAACACTTAGAAGAGTGTTTTAGTGAAAGTGAGAGGTGTCTCATATTCAGGGAAAACTCTGATAGAATCTTCACAGGTAGTATTTAAAAAAACGGCATTGGACGAAATGAGTTCAAATAAGACCAATTGTACTTCTGACTATTAGGAGTGTAGTTCTTCCTATAGAGAGTCCTGGATAGAAATTCACATGTAGTATTAGGGAAATGTTGACTATTAAGAGTTAATAATCCTTGATTGCGTTAACGCCTTTCAGACGTAGATGATTTTGCACCAAACTGGATTACCAATTCCTTTGTTATTTATATTTTGCATTTATTCTGTCATCTTGTCATAGACATTATTACAACATTGTGTTTGACATCTTATCATACACATTGTTACAACTTTGTATCTGACATCTTGTCCATCCGAAAAACATATTTTCATTTGGATAAAAATTATTCCCAAGAATAAATGTTTTTTGAAATGAAATATTTTCTATAACCTCCCTACTTCTCATAATTTTATTCTCGTGAAAAATGTTGAAATGTTCATTCTAATCAAGTTTCACATGATTTTTTTTGAAAAAAATATTTAACTACCCATTTTTCTTTGAACCTCAAATTATAAATTATATGTAACAAATTTTTTTAAAAATACCTTAATTAAATCTTCATATTTTTATTTGAAATCTGCCTCTTAAAGATGGATTAAAGCTAATTGTGATGACGTGTCTTTAAACAATTTGGAGACCTCATCTTGTGGAGGTATTTTTAAAGATCACAAAGGTTATTTTCTTTAATTTTTAGGGGTTTTTAATTTTTTTATTGTCGAACTTTCGAGAGCTATGTCAGCCATTGAGTGCATTTATGAGAAGGATTGACTTAATTTTTTGTTTTAAATTTAACTCTCTTGTGCTGAGTCAATTGCGTCAATCTCGCTTTATTTTTGTTTTTTCTCATATATTTAAAAAAGAAAATACTTATGCAGACTCACTTTAGGTCTCACAATTGTAAATTTCGTTCAATTTGATTCATTGTCCAAGCAAAAATAAGAGTAAATTTTATAAAGAATAAATTAAATTAATTTTCATTAGTTTTTTCTAACTAAAAGGATCTTGATATAATCCATGCTCTCCATTATGTAATCATTATTTTTCCTTATTAAAAGAAAACAATAGAAGCATGCTCTATTATAAGGAGGTGGAAAATAGAAATATAGGAGTGCAAAAAGTAAATATATCATTTATCTGGCCAATACCACCTGGAGAGCCGTTCTTCCTAGTTGATTCTAGAAAATTCGCCAACTTTCATACATTCCCTATCTCCCTCTCCGGTAGATGCATTATTTAACACACTCTTCCCAATCATCACACAGAAATCATTCACTACCTATTTCTCAATTATCAATTGAATCCTATTATTTCCACTTCGTAAACTAGTATTTTGGCTCAGAATCAAATGTCTCCGTACGACGGCGTCCTGATCGGAAAATTGAGACTGAAGGGAAAACCACTGGCCGTCAAAAACGACGGAATAAAAAAGAAGAAACACCGGTACTCGTCAGAGTTTAATTCAGGTAAACATTACACTTTTCCGTTGAACTTTGCATTTTCTTCTTTCATTTGGCATGTATTAGATCTGAATTAACGGTTCTTCAACAGTGAACGAAGAAGGTAACATGAACGAGGGTGAGAAGTATGAAGGAGAAGGAAACAATGCAGGTTGTGATTGCGATGATCGGTTAACTCCGGCTGAGAGACGGTTTCTGGAACGGACAGAGAAACTTAAAGTTCAAAGGCTAGCGAAGATGGCGAAGAGATCTCATAGAGATAGAATTGAGAGGTTCAATCAATATCTGGCTAATCTTAGTGATCATTATGATATTCCAAAAGTGGGACCTGGATAATACAAGCAAACTTCTTCTCAAGTTTGTTGTGGTTTTTAAAATGAATTAATAATATTTTGTCAAAAAATAAATGAATTAAGAATATAAGTTGTAAAACCATTTTTTTAAGAGTGAGATTTTGGTGACTACACCATTTGATATAAAAATAAGACTTCATTTGATATAAAAATGAGACTCAAATGCTCTTTTCTTTTTTCACCGTCTATCTTGAATCTTCCTTAATCTCTTTCCCTTTCTTTTAAACTCATTTTATTCACTCCTTCTATTGTGACACAAATGTGGAAAAGAATGAAGCTATTACTCAATAATAGAGAAAAGGAGTATAAATCATCATTGCAATCAATTAAATGAAGAAAGAGTTTTAGTTCTTCTTAGTAGCTACTATCCCTTCACATGTATCCAATGATTAATTTCACATCATTTTTTTTTTACTTTCACTCCCTGATGTTTCTTTACATACCTTTTGCTGATATTTTTAAGCAATTTGAGACTCAATTTCAATCTCCATGCAACTTCTTCCAATATATGGATTAATTATTACACTATTATATGACCCACATGATCAATCATCCATACATATGAATCCATACAACAAATTTGTGATGATTAAGCATCCAATCATGTACATAAAACAAATATTTTGTTTTTATTTTGTTTTTATTGATAATTAGGGATGTAAATGGATATTTATGAGATGGATACTATGATATCCGTATTGTTGAATAAATATGATATTTATATCCGTTTTATATTCATGCGGATATCTATTAAGCGGATAATATGCAGGTTTTAGGGTATCCGCGAATATTTACAGATATCCATAAATAATATTTTTTATAAAAATTATTTTTTGAAAAAATTATTAACACAAAAAATTATTATCACATAACATTCATACAATTCACTCTTAATTTAACAATAAAATTATATCATATTAATTTTCTTTTTATTCACCAAATTATAATTAGATTCAAGCATAATATCTATACATTTTATTTTTAACCAAACAAATAAAAGATTTTATGATTGTGAGTTCATGATGAAAGAGCGGGCGATAGAGGAGTGGGAATGAAAGCATTAGTTCGACAGAAGAATGACGACACTAGTTAGTTGGATTGTTAAATTGTTGAAGTGACGTATGAAGTATTGAAGAGTTTAAATATAAAATGGGTAATAGAATTTGAATGAAATGTAAAAAGTTTTCTTCAAATGAAATTAAAAAAAAAAAAGAAATACAAAAGACTAATTTTCATTAGAAGATGAAAAAATAAGGTATAATAAACTAATGATATTTAAATGATTTTTATAATTTATTAACGGATATGCAGACACCAATATCATTAAACTTATATTCATACCCATTAATAAATAAGTATTTTAAATATTCATTTATTTTATCCATGGATATCTATTAAGCTACTCGTCACAAATCCGTGATAGATTTTGTCCGCGGGTATAAATTTTTTTGCCATCCCTATTGATGATGCCTTTGATTCTTCGAGAATTTGGAACAAAACATTTTATCTTGAACCTTCCTCCTATAACTGCTATAACTATCTGAAGCATGAAAACTCATTTTCAACTCTGCCTTTTCTCTTATTCTCTTCACATCCTATAATTACTGATAATGCCTCCTCTTTTATCTCATTATTTTTTTCAATGTGGTTAGATGAAAAGATGGGGATCTCAATGAAATTAGCTATTCCATTCAATATAAATCTTATGGTTAGTGTCACCTTAATGATACCTCATGCGTCTTGGATGAAAATGAGGTTGTAGTGTCATCAGTCAAGAGGTTTGATTGCTTTCTACTCTCATTGGATGTCCTTTTAATACCAACTGTGACACTTAATAGACTTATGAATTGAAGATATTGAATTCTTTCAGATATGATCATTTTATGACCTTAACAGAGTCACACATATTTGTTTGAGAAAGAAGCAAAAATATAAAAAAAATGGATAATAACGACGATGGCCGACTCAATGATGTTTTAACTTAATCATCATATTAAAAGAGTTAATGCATCATCCTTCACTACTACGTAAAGATCTTTTTCCTGTTATTGAAAAATAGATAAAGGGTGGTAGTAAGATCAACTATAGTAAGATAAAGGGTGGTAGTAAGTGCATTACTTTTTACCAAAGCTAAAGTCTGTTGTGAAAAATTGGATAGCGTGCTACATTTCACCACAATTGAAAATATTAACTATGGTGAAAAGTCAGTCAGTCTAATTTTTTATTTTTATCACATGTTTTGCCTGACCATTGAGAACTTGTTAAATATGTAATTCATTATTTTATAAAGATTAGTTTTGATTTAGAAAGATCATATTTGATTTAAAAAGATTAGATTAGATATTTTTGGGCTTTTATAGTTTGGACTTTACCTTGGGGTGCAAGCTAACCTAAATATATAAATAGGGAGAAACCCTTATTTTCTAAATATCTCATCTCAACTCATCATATTTTGTAATTTACAGTTTGCAGTTGCAAGTGAAATAACAAAATTTTCACAGTTTGTGGGCAGAGAGTTCTCTGCAGAAAATTGTTCATCTTCTTCTTCTCCAACGTTTACTTTCTTTCTTTCCAAACTTTCCTTTCATTGTCATTACGTGAGTTGAAACAATTTTGAGATTAAGATTGATTGAGTAATATTCTCCATAGGTTATGGTTGATTTTCCAACTTCTAGCATTTAGAGCTCCGATTACGATTCAAGGAAGGAAAATCGTGATGACGATGAATCATCCAAACAGTCACTTTCCGACAAACCTTCAAATTTTCAAAAAGATAATTATAAGAATTGGTGCAATCAGATTAAGGTGATTTTCTGTTATCAAGATCTTTGGGATCTTGTTAAGGGAGGAGTAACACCGCTTGCAAAAAATGCAACGGATCAAGAAAAGGCTACATTCAAACAATTGAAGAAGAAAGATTATAAAGCTCTCTTTATAATCCATCAATGTGTAGATCCAGATAATTTTGAAAAGGTTAGTGATATAGAATCAGCGAAGGAAGCGAGGGAGATTCTTAAAAAATCGTTTGGAGGCGCAGAAAAGGTAAAAGAGGTGAGGTTACAAACTTATAAGAGAACCTATGAATTACTTCAGATGGAAGAAAGTGAAATTATAACAGATTTCTTCACTAGTTACAAAGCTGGTGAATCAAATCAAAGTATATGGAGAAGTGTTGACATCAAGATCAGCTGTTGCAAAGATCTTGAGGTCGTTGGCTCCAAAGTTCGACCATGTGGTAGTAGTCATAGAAGAGTCGGAAGACTTGTCAACATTGATGAAGGAAGAGCTTCAAGGGACGCTTGAGTCTCATGAACAAAGGATGGCTGAGAGAGTTGCAGAAAAGTCGAAGAGTGATATGGCTTTGTAAGAGAAGTCAAAAAAGGAAAGGAAAGACAAATGAAGCTAGAATGACAACAAAGGTAGATGAGACTACAACAATTCGACTAGTCGAAATCAGCAGGGAGGAAACTGGTCGAATCAAAGAAAACCATGGAACCAAGACAACCAAAGAGGTGGTGCTGCATGTAGAGGAATATGTGGTGGATGAAAGCCTGACAAAAGTCACATTCAGTGTTTCAATTGTCATAAGTATGGTCACTATTTTAGTGAATGTCGAGAAAAGAAGAAGAATCAAGAAACTGATGCAAAGAAGGCGAAGCATGAAGAAGAAGAGATGTTGCTAATGGTCACAACAAGAGACAAAGAGAGATTCCAGGATCAGTGGTACTTGGACTCAGGATGCTCATCACACATGACCGGAAGGAAAGATTGTGTGAGGGCAAAGTATATCAATACTTATTTATTCTTGTTTTAATGATGTCAAAACATATATAGTTAGAAATATGTACTTTGAACGGTATCATCGAGTCACATATGCATTCGTTATGTTTCTCGTATCAAGCATTTATCAAAAATATGTGTTAGTTCATATAGAAAAAACATTATATGTGTTTTATGTGAGTTTGATCATGTTGGTTGAGTTAGATATGCATTAGAAGCACTTAGAAATAGCTAGACATATCAAAATCAGCATTTTTGCATGTTTTGAGTCTTTGAATCGACTCAAAGCTTGCTTAGATCGACTCATGTAGAAGTGAATTTTTGTAATTTTCTCTCAGGAGAGCTCGTGTCGACCCTCCGGTCGACTCATACTATGTGCATTTGTATTTGTCAAAACTGAGTTGCTTTGCGTCGATGCATGGTCCTGTTCCGGTCGATGCGAATAGTGCTTTTCTGCATAATTCTATATTCGGGAGATCTCAGGTCGACCCCCCTATTCTTTAGGTCGACCGTTCGCTCGTTTCACGTTTTTTTCCCGGTTATGTTTGTCTTTCAAAGTGTCTGTTATGTTGGTTATTTGGTCATCGTTTTGCATATACATTAAGTTAGTTCATTCATCACAAAAAACAAGAAAAGTGAAAATATACACTGATTTGGTTCTCATCATCTTCATCCTCTTTCTTACATTTTCTCAACAAATACACATAATCATTTTTGTTGTGCATTCTGCATCATTAAGGTGATAACGTTCAAACATAGGATCCGTGTATCGGGTTTGGGTTGAGAAATCAATGGGTTTTTCTTGAATAAAACCTTTAGGGTTTTGTCCTCCAAGAATCTTGGATTTTGGGGGGTTTTGCACAAATCGTTCCTTCACAGATTCAACCGAGCGAAGGTAATTGAAGAATAGGAGGTTCTTTCAATTTAGTAGCGTTAACTGAAGGATTGTGGAAGGAAGGTTTGGGTTTGAATTGTTGGTGTTTGAAATTAGCCAGGCAAGATTTGAAGATCAGAGTTTTGTTCAAAGGTGGTGCCGTAATTGGAGGTTTACTCATCACATTCGAAGGACTTGATTCATCTTGAATCAAGGGAAGAGAAGACATAAGCTCAACATCAACAATTGGGATTGAGTGTTTGATTTCTATTGCTTCTCTTGTAAAAACAATTTGCAACAGGTTATATATACAGGTATCAATTCTATTT